TCTTTTGATTTCTAGAGGACTAAATCAGAATTAGGACTTTCCTTGAAACATAATTGTCTTGTAATGCATTTTTCTCTGAACTCGCAGTACCCATTCTTCTACTCCTGCTGACTTTGTTATTGTAGACTGCAGTTGAAGTTGAGTCTTCAGCCCGCCTAGGTTGAAAATGCTCTTCTGTGACTCTCCACTCATTAAAATTCAATGATAAAACCTAGCTTTGTACATTAAAAAATTGAATAAGGTGGTACATGTTTCTTATATTCATACCTTTACCACTTAATTTTGTTAAAGTTACTGTGCCGAAGGCCTGCCTCTTTCGCGCCTCCCGAAGATTTGATTTCCTCTAGCAATTTTTTATAATTAATATTTTTAGAAGAAATGAGACTTTCTTTTGCCTCAAATTCAACGAAGATTTTGACTTTTTTCTAAAGGTAGTATTTTGGTGAGAGACAAACAGTTGAGGATATTACTCATTTATTTTATTTTGAAGCCAATTTCAAACCTAAAAGTGGAATAATTAGTTCTATTGGGGATTGAAATATTTATAATATAATCCTAATTTCCCTTTCAAGACACGTCTCTTTATTTACTGGCGATATCCAAAACATTTCGTTTGCCTCACTTACTTTCACATTATTTTTCAGCCCTTTTTTTCCTTTCGTTGTTTTGTCTTATAGACTTTTTCTGCATAAAACTTCATCATTTTATGCCCTTTAAATACTATTCTCTGCAGTTATTCCCGGGCTGGTCTGCTCGCGACAACTACGCGATCCACTCGAAACGGAAGAAGAAGAAAAAACTGATGGCGGCTGCGGCATCGGCTGCCACTATTGCTTTGCGTTTTCAGCACCAGCATTCGCTCAATCAATCTTCTCGAGGACGGGGCACCTCTGGGTCACCCGACTCCTTGGCAGGTTTACCGGCCCTCTCCGGTTTTCCAGGCCAAAGCCATAATTCACTGGACTCCACAAGCCCATACAGTCGTCTCGGCTCTGCCTCCGGCTTTTCTGGACGAAGCAGGAATTCGGATCATCCTCGTGAGGCTTCTGCTTCCAGCGGTTCTAGAGGTGGCTGCGGAAATTGCATTAACCATACCACATGTGTCGAACACGGCCGAGGTTCTCCTCATGACCCGACCGGCCCGGCATCAGCGTCTCCGGGCTCCACTTCATCGGTTTGCTGTGAGCCTGGAATACTGTCGCCACAACCGCCGCAAGGTCAACATCTTAGTCAGCCAGGAGATCGGTTTGTCGTTGATCTAGGCAACCCGAAGAAGTGTAGAGCCCGTTTTGGCTTGGAGCAGCAGAACAGATGGTGCAAACCATGTCGGCAAGTTGATGGAATTGTTCTTTCAGTTACTTCTACGTATATACACACACTCCTTTCCAACATTATATAAACCTATTTTTCGTTTCTATGTTGGCTTTCGATGCTACCAGTAGATCAGTTATATGATGTAGGACTGGTAGTTGAAGTTTCCCACAACGATGTGAGAAATGATGACGTTTCTATTGAATTTCACATATCCTTGCCTTCCCAAAAGGTATTCTCATCCAGGATGAATGGCTGCTTCGATCTCGCATTTAATGTGCTCTTTTTTTTCTGCCCATCCTCCTATATCTATCTACACTTTCTTGCCTTCCATTTTGTTTCAACCTCCCTTCTATTATTCACCTTTGTCCCTTATCTTTCATTTTTCTCCCCTTTGACTTTGCCCTCAATTTGCCTCTTTTCTAAGCGTTTACAAGCCAGAGGCCTCAATAAATAATAATGAACTCTACACAATTTTTCAATTGAATCTGGTGAATTTTGTGCGGTATGTCTTCTTCATGCCTTGGCTTGATGTTACTCTATTACATCTTCATCCATTTTTAATTTTTACCTTTGTTAGCTTTTCCCCTCTGGCAAATTCCAAGAAATCCCGTCTAACACTAGCTCAAGGTTGCACAGTACCAAATTTCCTGCCAGATTCATGACAGTTGCTGTCTGTCTGCTTTTCCTCAGCACAAGAGACTCAAGCCCCTTCCATTTTCCTATAGGCCTATAGCGACTTGCACGGTATCTACTTTTCCACCTGGTTCATTACTATTGTTTATTATATTCTGATAACTATCAATATACTCTACCTCTGCTTTTATATAAACTTTCATAACTGGGCAGCCCTACCCTTCTTTATTTTTAGACTGGTTATTGACTAGGCATGATGACTCCCTACCCTCTACTTTATCC